TGTTGGGCTAGTGCGAGCCAGGGCTTTTATCGGGCCGGGCTGAGCCAATAGTCCGAGAGCTTGAGCAGTGAGGCTGAAATTATGTCGCGTTTCCACTGTCAGGCCAATGACTCGCAGTGCAGAATGCAAACCTATTAAATGCATTAAGTGATGTATACACATAGGCCTATGTATATTTATTCATTATATTAGTTTACTTGCTGGCCGACTGCTGGCATCGTGCATCGAGTGGTCTCGCCACTAACAGAGGGATGACCGAGCGCACCAGATTGAAACGAACCCTGGAGCGGTTCGATTGTAGTGAGAAAGCGATCCAATCCGAGCGCGGTTATATCACAGTGTTTTATGGATATGTAATAGGCTTACGGCTATATGAAGAGAGAATTATGAGTATGTCGGGAAGTTTCGCGAGTCTCCGGATGCCCGCAAACGAGTGATGATCTCTGGGTAATCTCGCGTCTCCCTCCCAGTCCTCAAATAGGCATCGTTGCGCACCCTTCTCACCCCTCCCCACCGCGTCTCTCCTCAGACACGTCGCGCACACCCTGTCAATCACCACCAAACCACCACCTCTCCTGACAGCTGAGCGGGACGCTGCAAAATAAACCCTGACACTCTGACCAATGTGAGGAGTGTTTACTCGCACGTGACTTGTTTTAGCTCTTTTGGTCCGATTAGAAACTTTGCAGTGTGAAAGTGAACCGCTCCAAGAGCAAAGAGCAACAATGTAACAATTTTAATCTCTGTTTCAGAACAACTGAATCGATTCACAGGTGTGAACGCACCCTTAAATAAAAAGGTGCTTTAAAAACTTCTGACGTTGTTATAATTGTGAATAAAATTCATTCTGTGCACTGCTTTTATGATTTGCCCTTTACTTGCTTTCATTATTTTTCTATTCTATATGTTCTATATTATATATTTTTATATCCTGAGGATGAAGTGAAAATATGTTTTGTTTCGACTGCTAATATTTTCTTAAATACATGTGTGACACATTTACTGGTAATTTACTTAGTAGGTATTCTGTGCCATTACTGAATAATGTTCTCAGTTGTACTCATATGTTTGTAGGAGGCAAGAATCATAAAAAACTGCAGCCGACTAGCAAGGACTTGCAGGAACCGCACAGAACAAAGAGTAAGCTGTTTTTTAAAATGTCTTCTGAAATAAGTTGCCCTTTCTGTTTTTCTTCTAAAGTTTATTCATGTACATGCAAGGAAGACGTCACAAACGGATTTCCTTCTAGTCATTATCCATGAATTCAATCAATACTGCCTGCTTCATACTGCGGGCACTTTTATATAGGGGCAGCAGTAATATTACATATACTGTTTAATTAAAGCCTTAAATCATGTTGTTGACTCACAAAGTTGATGCAGAATCACAAAAAAGTGCTGCATTTGCAGGTACAGTACAGTAAAAAAGTCATAATTAGTCATTTTTTAGCTACTGCTTTTGATCTGTCAAACCTTAGAATCGTATGTAAATGTGGTTTTCTTTGCAGCTGCTTAACTGATTTGAATGTAAACAAATAAAAATCAGTTTCTGAAATTATCTGATTTTTGATAGCATAACATATTCGTTAGCATATGAAAAGTGGCCTGCATGCAGAAGCTCACAAATAACTATTAACTAAAAATTTTAGACATCTTGCTGTAATTTACGAGAATAGTTAAACTTACATGGTGACTAATTGCAAGCATTTTTTTCCTTTTATTGCTGGGTGATGTAAACATGACAGATTGTCAGCCATCAACTAAATTTTAGCAAAAATGTGTATACAACTTTAAAAACAATGAGACACACTGAAGACCATGAATTAGTTTTATTTGGTCTTTAAGTCTTTTTTTCACTAATTATGTTTTAAATTTTATTCAGGATCTTCACAAAACGAGAGAAGAAGGTGGTCTTTGGAGGAGATCAAGGCCGTGGAGAAGACAATGATGGAATTCATAATGTCTGGAAAGGTTCCTGGTAAAGCCCAGTGCATGAACTGTATCGAAAGTTCCCCAGCAGCACTTCAAAATAGAAGTTGGGAGGGGGTGAAATTTTATGTAAAAAATCGCATTGATTCCCTAAAGAAAAAATTGTGAAAGGTAAGGACCTTCATCTAATTATTTTTTTCGTGTCTGCCGGAAGAAAGAAAATTTATTACTTAAAAAAATGTGAAAGGTAGGTGAAAGGGCCTTCACCACTGTTTTTTCTTCATGATTGTTGAAAGCAACAAGTTTGATTTCATTAAAGCAAAAAAATGTAAAAGGGCCTTCACCAGTTTTGTCTTTGTTAAAGGCAACATGTATGTGAATCTTGTTTAAGCAAACTCAACATGCATCTGCTTAAAGAGCAGTATACTAAAACGTTCATGTTAACATTTAAATAAATGTTTAAAACACTAAAACACTTCCGAGTTGTATTGAGTTTTTACATTCTCGTAAATTTGGCTATGTCTCCGTTAATTTTTATGCGTATCTCAGAATATCTAATAAAAAAAATGCTTGATAGAATGCCAAGATGCTCATACATTATTTAAATGCACATTAAAACAACATATGTGTACAACTGAGCAGGATAAACATTTTATTTTATTTAAAAAAAGCTAAGGCTTTTTTCTGTTTACACCCTTAGAAATGGTCTATTGTAATATAACATAGAATAAACAGAGAACGCAAGATAAAAGTAAAATTCAATAAAATATAAATGCACACAATTTTCCCTTATAAATAACTCTTTAATAGTTGTCTAAATGTAATTTGTAGTCTTACAGTGACTTATTATAAAAATATGATAATATACTGGTATGTCATATTGACACCTGGTGGTTCCTTGTGGTAAGACAAAATAGCGACGTCCCCACAAGAATAGAAAAACCTGACAAAAATTCACTTTTTTAAACTTCAGAATTCTTGATAAAAAATTATTGTTTTTATGATAAAAAAATCCCCTGGACACATATGAGTTAAAATTATGGCTTAATTGTATTTAGAAATTGCTGTCCCCATAGTTAACCTTCTAGTCACAAGTCCCCATGGGGCACAAAAACAAGTATGTGTGTGTGTGTGTGTGTGTGTGTGGATGTTTCCCAGAGATGGGTTGCGGCTGGAAGGGCATCCACTGCGTAAAAACCTGCTGGATAAGTTGGCGGTTCATTCCGCTGTGGCGACCCCTGTGTGTGTGTGTGTGTATATATATATATATATATATATATAGTTGAAGCCAGAGTTATTAGCCCCCCTAAATTATTCTCTTCCCTGTTAAATTTTTTCCACAATTTCTGTTTAACGGAAAGAAGGTTTTTTTTCAACACATTTCTAAACATAATAGTTTTAATAACTCATATCTAATAACCAATTTATTTTATCTTTGCCTTGATGACAGAAAATAATATTTTACTAGATATTTTTCAAGACACTTCTATAATTATAATTTTGTCCTTTTTTGTCCCTAATAAAAATAATTTTGTCCCTTAATATTTTTTTTAATTAAAAACTGCTTTTATTCTAGCTGAAATAAAACCATTAGGACTTTCTCCAGAAGAAAAAATATTATTAAACATACTGTAAAAATTTCCTTGCTCTGTCAGTCATTTAGGAAATATTTAAAAAAAGAAAAAAAAATTAAAGGGGGGCTAAAAATTTTAACTTTAACTGTATATATGCACTGTATATACAAAACAGATTTATTAAACAGATATATTTATGAAAATATAATTTTAGTCACCAAACATATTTAAAAATTGAAAGATAATACAAATAAATTCAAGCAAAATATTGCAACAACAATACAACTTTCAAAATTACAACTATTTTTTTTTTTTTGCTTCTCTTGATTTTTCCTCTTTTTTTAAAATTGTATTTAATATTTTTCTGTAACATATACATTTGAGTGTACTAGTTTTTGGACCGTTATCATAAATTATTTTGTTAGATAAGCTCCAGATTTGGCTTCAGTACTGACTAATCTTGTAACCAGGGGAGTGACACTGACAACAGAGGTGCGAATCCACATGCAGGTTTATTAGAATAGTCAGGCAAGCAGTGGTCAATACAGGGGCAAACAGATGTATAAGGGCAATCCAGAGTCGTAGTCAAAATAACAGGCAGATCACAAGGCAGGCAGCAAACAGGATTAAACAAATAAACAAGGCGTGGATCAAAAACACGGAAAAATAAGAAAAAGGAAAATGCGTTGTTGTGTCACTAAACTGATAACAGTAGACAAAACACAGCAACAACTGTATGTTTGAGAGGTGTTCTTATAGTCCAAGTATTTATTCTGTGAGCAGCTTCAGCTGTAAAAGTCTAATCAGAGAAAACTTAGAGCAGGTGTGTGTGTTTGTGTGCTGCATGAGTGAATATGTAGTCCATAACATGGTGGATTTGTTGTTCATGTGAAAGGGAGTGTTTACCAGCAATCTGGGGTTGAAGATCGCTAGTGATCGTTACAAATTTAATGTATTTGCACAAATATAATATAAGCTTCAAATTAAAAATATGAATTTAAAAGTTAGATTTGTGAGGTGTGTACTTATAGATGTTGAGCACTGTACATGATATATTGAATTGAACAAACATTACATTTTAAGTTAATATGTCACTTATTTCTGTGATGGCAATGCTGAATTTTCAGCACCCATTGATCATGTAAAATGTTTCATATTGTTAGTACTAAACACTTAAAAGTATATTTTCAGGATTTTTTTAATGGATACAGCATTGTACAATTTTTACGCCTAAATATAAGGCTTTTTAAACTTTCTAAATAATTCTGGGTGGAAATAAATACTTTCTTTATACTTAAGTGATTTTTTTATTATTTTTATTTTTAAAGGAAAGTTTGATATTGATTTTGATCAGTGTAATGCATAATTGCTGAGTAAACATCATCTTTAATTTCCAATATCATCTTACTGACCACAAACATTAGAGAACAAGTGTGATTAGTTCTTTTAAAGACTAAGAATTAATAGCCAGTGATGGAGAAAGTCAGAGGAGTCTTACTGATACAGGGGGCGATGGGTGATCTGCTCTGCTGGTATCCTTTAGCACAGCGATTACAGGTGATGCCAGTCACACCATCTTTACATGGACACTGTCCAGTTGTCTGGTTACAGGTCTTACCAGCTGCACCAACAGGATGACAATCGCAGGCTGAAAAAAAAGCAAAAAAAACAGTGTTATTGATGCAGTGTTGTAATGACTACGTGAAGTTTATTTATAAACTAATTTCGAGAGGATCACGTGCTTATGATTGCTAGCGGCTGGATCCGCATTATTCAATTCTCAATGCACCAATCAGACGACTCCTAAGCTACTGTAAATACCCTGGGTTACGCACCACCACTATCTTCGTTTTGAAAAATCCCCCCTTCCACCCCTACTCCTCCTTCTTCCTAGATGGGTGATATGGTGACACTGTTGCCTCACAGCAAAAACGTCTCTGGTTCCAGGCTTTAGCAAACCAGCAGATGTTTCTGTGCGGAGTTTACACGTTCTCCCCGAGCTCACGTGGGTTTCCCTTGGGTTCAGCGGTTTCCTCACACCATCAAAAAACATGCAACTAAAGTTAATTGACTACTCCAAATCAGCACCATAGACATGCTCCTAGTAAGTAGTTATCTCTTAAGAACAACCACTATCTGTACATTAATTACCACAGCAGGGGAGTTCTCGAGATCTACCAGAGCTCAAACTCCCCTCTCGCCTTGCAGAGGGAGGGAGCCCCGGGCTTGAGAATCTTATGAGCTCAGGGCTCTCTCCTGGGACAGCATGCCAAAGTAACTTATAATTATTCATTTGAAATATAGTTAAGCAAAGGTAAATAAGGTGAAAGCAATTTAGTGAAAGAATCATCAAGAGTTTTGGATTGGCTTAATAGAATTGGCTCATAAAAGCAATTCAGTTGGGAATCAGACAATATTTATAGTGCTGCATGTTTTGAATCACTAAAATACGAGTTCATAAGAATCAGTCAATCAGGAATCAGAGCAATCTAGTAGCTTTTAATCCAATCCACTTTTCAATGCTTAATGGTTTTTAAAACAATTAAGTTTCCCCCCCCAAAAAAAAAAATGTGTTGTTTCAGCTCATTTTAAATAAGTAGTTTGAGCAAGCAGAAAAAAAACAAAAAAAAATTTTTGAGTGAAATTCAGATTCACATATAGTTTAAGTCAGAATTATTAGCCCCCTTCACATTTTTTTCTTCTTTTTAAAATATTTTCCAAATGATGTTTAACAGAGCAAGGAAATTTTACAGTATGTCTGATGATATTTTTTTCTTCTAGAAAAATTCTTATTTGTTTTGTTTCGGCTAGAATAAAAGCAGTTTTTAATTTTTTAAAAGCCATTTTAGGGACAAAATTATTAGCCCCTTTAAGCTATTTGTTTTCTTGATAATCTACAGAACAATCTACTGTTCCACAATAACTTGCCTAATTAGTTAATGGGACACTTTCTGAGGTCAGATATAGTAATACAGGAGTGCCACAAGGTTGGGTTTCATCGCCTGTGCTTTTTGCCTTGTACACAAAAGATTGCAGGAGCACACATTTTAATAATTATATTATGAAATATGCTGATGACACTGCCATTTTAAGTCTCTTACACAAAGACATGGACCTATCATCCTACCACAGTGAAATCGATCATTTCATTCAGTGGTGTGATAAGAACTGTCTTGTGTTAAATGTAAAAAAGACACAAGAAATGGTTCTTGACCCACGAAGTGTTTCTGAACACAGGCCTGTGATCATTAAAGACACAGTGATACAGCAAGTCACATCTTACAAATACCTGGGGTTTTATATGGACAGTGTTTTTTGTTGGAGAACACACATTGAGAGTTGCACACAACTACAACAGAGGCTTTATTTCTTAAGAAGGCTGAGATTGTATGGGGTGGGTAGCCAAGCTAAGCCAAGTTTTTTACCAAGCTATGTTTGAGAGTCTTATTCGCTATGGAATCACAGTCTGGTTTGGAAACCTGTCTGTTCAGTTGAAAAATAAATTGGTTCATATGCAAAAAACAGCCATGAAAATTATAGGGATAAAACAATATGAGCCCATCCAGACTCTATACGAACAGGCGGCTATAAAAAGAGCAATACGTATTAGCGCTGATTCTAAACATCCCCTTTTCAGTGAATATCAGCTGTTACCATCAGGAAAAAGACTGAGAATGCCAATGTGTAAAACTAATAGACTGAAGCTTTCGTTTGTTCCTACCTCCATAAAACTGTTGAACTCTACCAATAACACTGCTCCTGCAGTACGCTAGCACTTGACTGGGTTCTGTGTTTTATATATTTATACTTATATACGATCTTATTCTGTAAACAATGTATGTTCTTAACTGTTTGTTCTTAATTGTTTTGTTTTATTTATTTTTACTGTCTGTTTAGACAATGTTGTAGCACCTTTTATGCCCAAGACAAATTTCCTCTCGGGGACAAATAAAGTTAAACCTAAACCTAATTACCCTAACCTGCCTAGTTAACTTAATTAACCTAGTTAAACCTTTAAATGTCACTTTAAGCTGTATAGAAGTGTCTTGAAAAATATCTAGTCAAATATTATTTACTGTCATCTTGACAAAGATAAAAGAAATCAGTTATTAGAAATGAGTTATTAAAACTATTGTGTTTAGAAATGTTTTGAAATAATCTTCTCCCAGTAAAACAGAAATTGGGGGAAAAAATAAACAAGCGGTCTAATAATTAGGGGGGCTAATAATTCAACTACTTGTTTGTGTGCTGATTTGTGTGTTTGGACATCAGATTACACAGCTTTGATTCAGCAAAAAGAACCAGCTCACACAAGTCACTTGTTTGAGAAACAGATCACACATGTTGCACTATTGATAAAGTAAGAATAAATAACTTACATGAGTAATTTGGTCAGATTATACAGATTGTACACTCAAAAAAATACATTTGCTATTTGTTCAAACTACATGTTTAAAATGAGCTGAAACAACACAATTCTATTGGAGACAACTTAACTGTTTTATGTTCCATCCACTCAAATTGTGTGAAATTGATTTTGTGGAACCCAGTGTTTTTTACAGTCTACTTTATATCTTAAAAAGTATTGTCACATGTAAGCTGATTTGTTGAGACAACATTGTTTTTTTTTCTGTAAATTACTTTTTTTATTATACATTATTATTATTTTTATTTCACACAGACATTCACAACTCGGGTGGGCCGAAACATAATTTATTTTGTTCATCAGCAGGGAAGCAGCAGGTTGTTCCCCTCAAAAAGATATGAAGTCTGGAACTTCACTTCACTATGGAAACCTGTTTGAAATGACATTAGACTGAAATGAGAACAGTTATGCCCCACACCTGTGTGCGTGCACTGAGTCTGGATCCTGACCAAAGTTCCATGCGAGTTTCTTTGTGGACAGCCAGATACTCGCTGCGGGTCTTTGTATGTTTTAAAACCTTCCGAGATCTGACATAGCATTGTCATTTGCCGAAGCTGCACACCGTCTGATCAAGTTTCCGATGTAAAGACTTGGCAAAGCATGGCCTTGCAAAGAAAGGCTGAATAATGTTCCTATTAACGACAGAACAGCCTGTACTTCAAAGGTGCTCTGGCTAAGCTGTTAGTCGGGACGATCACGTGTTAAAATGTGAGAATTTCTTTGTGCGCTCGCCCTGCCAAATGTTTACCATAAAGCTGCTTTGTTTGAAGTCCCAACTTAACTCTTCCCATCAAGCCGTTTTTATGTTGCCAGGGATTCATTTGGAAATTATATAAAGTGGTCCAGCCTCAAAGCTCCCGGGACTAAAGAGAGCTGATGAATATTAGAAGGCACTTCTTGAATTAGTAACAAAGGCAATTGTTGGTCTCGGATTTATGTGTGCCCTGGAGAAGCTGTACACAGTCAAAATAGTGCCAGAACAGAAATGGTTGTTCTGATGAGATGAGCCGTTTCCTCATTAATCATTTGGCTTTTTTTCTTTCTCTCTCTCTCTCTCTCTCTCTCTCTCTCTCTCTCTCTCTCTCTCTCTCTCTCTCTCTCTCTCTCTCTCTGAGTTTTTATGCAACCTTATAAGTGGTTGATCTGAAACACACTGGATACTGTAGGCACTTTTAAACAGCTCTCATCACTTAACACACGCAGTTCAGCTCACCTGCTAACACTCATGCAATCAATTTGTGTTGGGACAACATAAAGGAATTAAGTTTACTTATTAGATTTTACAAATATAAATAAATTAAACATAAAACAAATATGTTGTCACAAAAAAACTCAAGACTTGTGTTGTTTTAGTTCATCTTAAATAAGTAGCTTATACAAAAAGCAAACAACCTTTTTTGAATGTATTAAAAGTTAATAGAATAATATTAAAATGTTATATTACACTGTAAACCCAAAAGGTTAAGGTAACTCAAACTATTTGAGGAAACTGATTGCAACAAACCATTTAAGTTCAAAAACTGATCCTGAGTACTTTGAACTTAATCCATTTGAGTAAACGAAGCAATCTGAGCACAGTAAAACCCAATACATGAAGAGAACTCAATCCAACTGAGTACTGTAAAACATAAGTTAAGTCAACTCAAATCATTTAAGGGAAAAGGGTTGCTACAAACCATGTGAGTTAAAAAAAAAAAAAACGAATCTACTGTATATAGGTACTGTGAACTTACTCCATTTAAGTTGAAGTAATGAGGTATTTAATTAACTCATTACCTTCAACACTGAGTTTAAAACTCTTTTCAAATGAGTAGAATTTACTTTCAGTATATTTTGAGATATTTTAAGATATTATAACAAAACCAAAACCACAGATCAAAGACTTATTAGGTGAAACAAGATCTATATTGTTCTGTTGTTCTGTCATTCTGTTTTGTCAGTCTTTCAGTCGTTCTATAGTTTTATCTGTCATCTATCGGTCTTTTGTTTTAATTATTTTAATATCATTCTCTCGTTCTACTGCTATTATTCTATGCAATATGGGCTTTCTGTTTATTGTGCTGTCTATTATTTTATTGTTCTATCTACCGTTCTATTGTTCTCTACATTGTATTGCAATTTTATCCAACATTCTGTCAAGTCAACAATCATGGGTTAAAATTACAAACACAATAAAATATCTGAGCTAAAGTCTATGTGAAATATAGATGACCTGGGGTGCA